CTGCCCTACTTCTGATAGGGCAGTTCTGACTTTGCTCCTGCAGCCACTTCCAAATGATTTCCTCATAAAGTCCCTGTAAAATCCTCCACTGTTCTGGAGTGATGTGGATAATATGGGGCTAAAGGACATTAAGCACTCCTCTGCTTTGTTGGTTGGTCTGTGATATTTCCCTAACAATATGCATTCATATTTAGAAGAATCAAGAATATACAGATCCTACCATCACAAATGCCAGAATTTGTATATAACTGCTTAGAAGGATGTTCAAAATTACGCATGCTGTGGAGAAAGTAGAGAAGAAACTTTTTGTTCCTGTTCCATAATACTAGAACTCAATGGAGTTATCCCATAAAGCTGATTAAGAAAGATAAAAGGAGGCACTTATTCATAGAGTGCATAGTTAAATCATGGCATCCTCTGCCACAAGAAGTAGTGATGGCCACCAATTTGGACAGCTTGAAAAGGAGACTGGAGGTTTTCAGTGGCTCTAAAAGTGCTCATCAATGACACTTTCTCAAACCAGGGAAAAGTAGCAAGCATGGTACCGCAGGGTTCATTCCTGGCCCCAGTGCTCTTTGATACTTTTATTAATGACTTAGATGAGAAAGTGCCGGGAACGATGTTTAAATTTCCAGAGGACACAAAAGTGAGTGGAATAGCTACTGCCCTGGAAGACAGAAAGAAGAATCAAGGTGATCGTTAAACTGGAATGCTGGGCTGAAAACAACAGAATGAAATTTAGTAGGGACAAATTTACCTATGTTCTTTCATTACAAGATGAGAAATGCTTGGCTCGACAATACTGCAGGTGAGAAGGATCTTGGAATTGCTGTAGATCACAAGCTGAGTATGAGTCAACAATATGATGTGGCTGCAAAAAGGGCAAATGCTGTTTTAAGCTGCATTAATAGAATTATCACTTCCAAGGCACATAAAGTACAAGTTCCCCTTAACTAGTTACAGGTTAGGCCTCATCTGGTTCCTGACTCCAAGCAGAACAGAGCACATCAGAGCAAACTGCCCCAGCTGGTCTAGGGCCTCTGGGATACAAGCAGCCAAGCTCCCAGGAAGCGAGCAACCAGAGCCAGCAAACAGAGAAAGCCGAAAGGAGTTTGGCGGAGGAGGTCCAGCGGGAGGTCCCTAACATTCCCCCCCCCATTTTGCTTCTTTCCTTATTTTCACTTTAAATCCCCCACTGCAAGTGATGGCATAAGCAATGCACCAAGACGACTCCACAATGGCACCCTGAACCAACTGCTGCTGCTGCACACTTGTACCCCTATTACAGGAAAAGTGAGAGCACTGGAGCAGCGTGTGTCCAGCCTGCGGACAATAAAAGAAAACAAAGAGCTTCTGGACAGAGTGGAGGGGCTGCAAAATGTAGGTGTTGTCAGAAGGAAGAAGAGCAACTGCAAGCAGAGGAGGCACAAGAGAACCCTGAGGTAAGGGAAAATGAGAAAACTTGCTGGAACAGGGTGACACATGCAGAAGAGCTAGAAAACACTCTGCACCCATGGAAGCAGTGGAACTCTCGAACTGCTTTGAGCTGCTTGAGGAAGAGACATGTGAGAAACCCAGTGTAAAAGAACCACACGACCCTAAATAACTCTTTTTCAGAGACAAAAGGCCAATCAAACAAGGAAAAGGACAGCAAAATTCGCAACAAAAGGAGAAGAGTGCTAGTTGTAGGAGATTCTCTCTTGCTGGAAAAATATGTCACAATGACCCAGAGAATTGCCAAGTTTGCTGTCTCCCTGGTGCCAAGGTTAAAGATATAACCAGCAAGTTCACATAACTCATACGACCCTCTGACAAATACCCCTTCTCTTCCACGTGGGAAGTAATGACACTGCCAGGAGAAGTTTTGCTGATATAACTTCAGACTTCAAAGCTCTAGGGACGAAAATATAAACACTGGGGCCCAGATATTCTTCTCCTCAATCCTACCAGCATGTGGAAAAGGAACTGTTAGAGTAAGAAAAATCCTTCAAGTGAATGACTGGCTATGATGGTGGTGCCATAAAGAGAGATTTGGATTCTGGGACCACAAGCTAAGCTTCCTGGAAGATGGACTATTGGCAAATGCACCTCACAAAGAATGGGAAGCAGCTGTTTGGCCAGCACACGAAAAACTTCTTCAGAAGAGCTTTACAGTAAATTGCATCAGGAAGACTAAAGCAGAGAATGAACTAAGAATAGCAAGGGATGCTAAGCCCAGCAAGAAAGCTTTCTTAGATACATCCACAACAAAAGACATGAGAAAGAGAAGGGTGTCCAGCTATTTAAAGTGGATGGCAGAGTGATAACAGAAGACAAAGAAAAGGCAGAGGTGCTCAATTCCTACTTTGATTCAGTCTTCTCCCACAAGGAAATCTGCAATCAAGAGGAAGTTCAAGCTGGAAGTAAGAGATGGCAGCCCAAGATTGACAGACAAATGGTCAAGGAATATCTAGGTGGAATAAACACTTTCAAATCTCCAGGGCCTGATTGAACTCCATCCAAGAGTCATAAAAGAGCTAGCAAAGGAACTCTCAGAACCACTGGCTATTGTCTTCGATAAATCTTGGAAAACAGGAGAAGTGCCAGATGAATGGAGAAGGGCTAACGTTGTCCCTATCTTCAAAAAGGGGAAAAAAAGATGAATCTGGGAACGATAGACCAGTTAGTCTGACATCAATCCTTGGAAAAATTCTGAAGCAAATTATTTAAAAATTCATCTGCAAGCATTTTGAAGAAAATGCAGTGATTAATAAAAGCCAGCATGGATTTATCAAAAATAAATCCTGTCAGACCAAATTAATCTCATTTTTTGACTGGGTAACTTCCCAAATGGACAAAGGGAACACTGTGGACATAATCTACCTAGACTTTAGCAAAGCTTTCAACATAGTGCCACACGACATTCTGATAAGCAAATTAGCAAGAACTGGACAAGATGGAAAAACTATTAGGTGAATCCAAAATTGGCTGCTAAATCAGTCATCAATGGCACCTTCTCAAATTGGATGGAGGTAACTAGTGGGGTGCCACAGGGTTCAGTCCTGGGCCCAGTGCTCTTCAACAACTTAGCAAACACCCTAGAAGACAGAATGAAGATCTGAGCACTGGACTGAAAGCAACAGAATGAGATTCAATAAGGACAAGTGGCAAGACCTCCACCTAGGAAAAAGAAACCAAAAGCATTGATACAAGATGGGGAATACGTGGCTTAGCAGAACTGAAGAAAAAAAAAGATCCTGGAGTAATTGTGGACAATAGGCTATACATGAGCCGACAATGCGATGCATCTGCCAAAAGGGCAAATGCTCTTTTGGTATGCATTAACAGAAGTACTACTTCCAAATCATGAGAAGTAGTAGTTCCACTATACTGCGCACTAGTCAGACCTCATCTGGGATACTGTGTCCAGTTCTGGGTGCCAAGATTTAAGAAAGATGCAGGTAAATTGGAAAGGGTTCAGCAGAGGGCCACAAAAATGATCCAGGGTTTGGAAGCACTGCCCTGTGAGGAGAAACTGAGGTAACTGGGCATGTTCAGCCTTGAGAAAACTGGGGGTGGGCATTATATCCCTCTATAAGTACCTCAAAGGCTGCCACAAAGAGGAAGGCCAAGATCTCTTCTTGCAGATACCAGAGTGCAGGACATGGAATAATCAACTCAAGTTGCACCACCCAGATTCAGGCTGGACATCAGGAAAAGCTTCCTCATGGTCAGAGCAATACAACAGTGGAACCAACTGCCTGGAGAGGTGGTGGGCACACCCACACTGGAGACATTCAAAAAGAACCTGGACAGCCATCTGAGTGGGATGGTGTGAAATGGTGTCCTGCAACAGCAGGGGGTTGGATTCGATGGCTTTCATTGTCCCTTCCAACTCTTCTATTCTACGATTCTTTGATCTGGAGCGTTCTGAGCAGCACAGTTTAAGAAAGATGCAGACTCGGTAGAAAGGGTTCAGAGGAGGGCAACAAAGGACTGGAGAAGTGGAGACAAACCTCCATGAGGAAAAATTGAGGGAACTGGGCATGTTGAATCTCAAAGAGAGAAGATAAAATAGTACTGTACAAGTACTTGAAAGGCAGTCACAGGATCTTCTCCAGAGATGCAGAAAAATTAGAAAGGGCAACAAAAAAGATCCAGGGTTTGGAAAGGAGAGGAGAGACTGAGAACTGGGCCTGTTCAGCCTTGAAAAGAAGATTGAGCAGGGACATGATATCCCTCTATAAGTACCTCAAAGACCTCTTCTTGCTGATTCCGGAATTGGAATGACCAATTCAAGTTGTGACAATTCAGATTCAGGCTAGATATCAGGAACATTTTCTACACTGTCAGAGCAATATGGCAGATATCAGGGAAAATTTCCTGACTGTTAGAGCAGTATGGCAATGGAACCCATGACCTAGGGAGGTGGTGGGCTCTCCTGCACTAGAGGCATTCATGGGTCTCAGGTGTCAGAGAGGGATGGTTTAACTGGGAGTCCTGTACTGAGCTGGGATTGGACCTGACGGCCCTCCAGTCCTGGGGTTTTAGGATGCTGTCATTGCTGGCTCCCTCCGTATCACAGAAGTGCTGACTGTTGCACTTGAGAGATCCTGTGGGTTTGCCACTGTGTGAATACAGTGCTGGATGGGCCACTGCCCTGGTCAAGCATGGCTCCTCTTATGTTCTTACAGGCCTTTTGGCAGCAAAGAACACAGTCTCTTTGGTAAGTCTCGGAAGATGAAAGACATTCCCTACCCTCCTTCAGTAGCAGCTGTAAAATTGATGCAAAAATAAACAGGTATATGCAAAAGTTCCCAATTTATACATATCACAAAATTCCAGCTTTTCTCAGTACAGAATTTGGGTTTAACAAGGTGGAATTTGACGGCCCCAACACCCAGCATTTCTAATTATATACAATGATGGTATTAACTTTCCTATTTACTCTTCTGTCTTTGATGCACTGACAATTTGGGAATATCTTAATAGCACTCATTCCCTTTTTTTCCTTCCTTTTCTGACATTTCTTTTTAAAACTGTACATCTCCTTTCCCATCCAGAGCAACTGATTTCTGTATCCACAGCCCTTCTTCTAGGCCTCCTGTATGCAGGCTTCCTATTCATGTCCCTGATCGATCTGTGGCACAACTGGGCCAAAAGGGAGAGGAAGGACTGTGTCCTGGCCTCCTCTGGCTGAGGACAGGCCTCTCGATCAAGCAGCTCTTCTGCTGCCAGCCTGTCTGCTGCTTGCCCCTCCCTGTGGAGGCTGGTCAGTGTTGCTCTTACCGGAGCAGCCGCTTCAGGCCTTTGCAGATTGCTGAGCTACAGCATTTCCATACCAAATACAAGATTTCCAGTGCCTGCAATTACATCTGCTGCCATGAGGCGCTGCCCCCTTCACCATACCAGCACTTCCTTTGGGCCGATTAGGTGCCAGCGGCAGCCTGGTGTTCCCTCCCAGGTGCCCAAGCTTTATCCCTTCATCCCAGAGGCAGGCTGAGGACTATACTACACTTTCTTCCAGCTCATCTGCATTGAGGAAGGGTCCAAGCTGTGTGGCATTGTGGTTCTCAGGAACGGCGCACTGCACCAGCATGCCATGCACGGACTGGCTGCGTCTGGTCCATATAGTGCTGAGGCGCTTGGCATAGCTGTAGCAAGGGCTCGGGGAGGAGATGTTCCCCATATCCAAGGAGGTGCTACGCTTGGTTTTGGCAGGAGCATGGAGCCTCCAGGCTGTTCCAGCCCCTGTCCTGTGCTCCGCCCCTTGCAGCCGAGCCTCCTTGGTGTGCTTTGGGCCACGCTGCTTGGGGGACGTCCGCTGGAAGAGCAGCCCATTGGGGTGCCCCCCGTTGGTCTGTGAGTAGACATTGGTGGCTTTAGGTAGGTTCCCATGAATGCTGCCACAGACTTTGTACTTCACCATCATGGTCACCATGAAAACCAGCAAAGTAACCACAATGATGCCCCCTACAGTCACCGTCAGGGTCCCCCCCAGGAAGTGGGCATGCAGCGAGTGGCAGTCTGGATAGGCATCCCTTGTGGCAAACTGGGCGCAGCCCAAAAGGTGTGTGGCCGCCAAGGAAGTGGCCACATCATCGAAGATGGCCAAAACACACAAGTCGTACTCTACGCTGGGCACAAGGTGCTGGATGACGAAATGTCTGCTGCTGGCAGGGATGATCCTGTAGGGAGAGAGAGACGGGATCAGTAAACGGCACTTAGCACCCCTCTGACACCTTCTTCCACAGTCACCTGCACCCATCTCCTCAGTGGGCCAAAGGAAAATTAGGAAAGCATGATCCTCGCCATTCACGATCCCCAGCCCACTCAACTGTATGTTGAGTCCACTGAATATAGTCTGCATCAGTTCCTTCCTTGCAGCGACTGGCCAATGCACGTCTTAAGATAGTACCCCATTCCCCGCTTTACATTCTCCTTTCACTCTTTGTTTGTGAGCTCTCATTCTCATGGCTGAGAGTGGCTTTGGGATTGTCTGAAAAGTAGGATTAAAGGACTACTACAATTAATAACAATAAAACATTGCACAAATAGAACTGGCATAACATAAAACAAACCACTAATAATGAAAGTGTCAGATGAGGGGCTTTCTGAGCCCCTTCTAATTCTGTGCACATTTTGTCCTGCCAAGGGAACGACTTCAGTAATCTAATGTATTCTGTCCTGTCTGCAAGAAGCTAATAAAAGTTTCACTGCTTCCCAACAGTAGGCATCCTGGTGCATTAAATAATCAAGAGGTGACTGGGATATGCCATTTTTTATTTTAGTAACATCAGTGTTATATGATGGTGCTCTGCATGAGTTAATCTGGACTAGATCTAGTTAATCTGGCTCTGGCTAGAAGACTGGAATTAGAATTCACCCAGAAGCATTGGGAAAGAGCAAGACAAGAGCACAGTTGTTTTCTCTAACACAAGTATTTGCCTAGTGGAGGCACGTCAGCCCTGGGACTTTAGACTACAAGGCCTCGACTTCTGAAGACCTTCATGTGTGCACATGCTTTAAATGCAGCGGTGCCACGCAGGAACCCTCCAAGGCAGCATCAGTACCTTGACTGGCCACCTCCTGCAGTCTCTCTGAGGCCACAGGACTGGGCAGGCACCCCCATTGGCAACAGTTCCTGCCTCCTGCCTGCATGTTCTCTCCGTGTTCCTCCAAGGACACTGACAAGTCATTTTGGACCCCTGTGTAAGGGTACAGGTACACACTTGGGAAAGTCTCTGCCTTTTAATGCAATTTGCACAATTGCAATTTGCTAACATCTCAAGACCAACTTTATATGTAAACTGACAGTGAGAGAGAAACAAAAGAAATCCACATGCTGTTTCAACAGTATAAATCTGGTTCCTACCAGCAAGGGGGACAGGCAGAACAAAAACTGGTGACCAAGGTCAAAAATTCTGCAGGATTTTTACCCCAAACAGAATTCTCATGCATCCACACCCACAGAATCACTACCTGGAACTTTCTTTTACAGTTAACTTGATCAGAGCAGCAGCAAATGTAATGGACAGAGATAAGCATGTGTGTGTGTGTGTGTGTGTGTGTGAGAGAGAGAGAGAGAGAGAGAGAGAGCGAGCGAGCGAGCGAGCAAGAATGGGCAGGTGTACAGGTAAGGCTAGACCATGCTGTGCAGCTTCCACATGGCATGGTGAGGCAGTCAGACAATTGCATGGTTTCCATGCATGGTTTCCACCCTCCTGCCTCAACCTTCCTGCCTCCCCTTCATTGGTCTCTATGGGCTTCCACGGGAGATGGTTGAAACCCCATCAGTGAGGGCATTCAATAATAGGCTGGACATGCACATGGTAGGTATTTCATGAGCAGAGCAGGCTGGAGCTGGGGGTCCATCTAGTCTGCTAGATGGCCTGGGAGGCCCCTTCTGACTCACTGTTTCTATGTATATTAGAAGCTGGACGCTAATACAGCTCCAGTCAAGTGCTGCTCTTTCTAGCAGACTCTGGTGGTTACACAGAAACCTCATTTCTGGGTTCAGATGACTGAATAAGCTGTAGTGAAGGGTAGAAACCATGCAGCAGGTCCTTTTTTTCTCTCCATGGCTCCACAGAAGCCAAACAACCTGTGTGCCAAGTCCACAGCAGGATTCAGACAGTACAACAGACCGTAGTGGAAACCACTGTGACTTGTTCTTATGTGTGAGCCTGGCAAATGTGTGCATATCCCCTAGTAAAGGAGAAAAGACCCGCTATTTCTCACCATTCAATACCTAGTTCAGGCCAAGTAAGAGTTCTTATCCTGTGAGAAGCTGGGAGGAATAGTAATTCTGGAATAGTTGGCAGGTCCGAGGTGAATCAAGCTACATGTCTCACACATCTAGAGTGTTGGTTTTTTAAAGAGACTGTTTTAAAGCATTGATTTCAATCAAGTTTCCCTGTTTGAAATTCATGTTTCTGGAACAGAGCTATTAATTGGTTTCTAATTGGTTAAATTATTATTCAGCATATGTTTTGCAATTAAATGAGTCTGTTTACAATCTAGGAATATGATGAAAAGCATTTGGCCATGTGACTCCCCTGACTTTTTCCATTATGTCTGCTTGGATGCCAGTTCAGGTAAGGGAGGAAGTCCTTTGGAGTTTTATTCGGAAGCAGACTCACTGAACAATGGGGCTTACTTGTGAGTAAGCATGCACAGTTAGGTCAGCTGTTACTGAACAAGTCAGCATAGTGTAGGAATCATGCAATGGAAAGTAATTGTCCATACTATTTGATCTGTAATGTGAAAAATAGGAAACTATGAGATCTGATCACTTCTGACCTTTTTCTCTGGAAGTTTATGGCCAAATCTTATACAGTTAGAAGTAAGTTCCACATCATTCAATGAGAATCCAGAGCTACTCCTAGTGAGAGGCATCTTCAGGACTCTCAGCTCAGGGCAGCTTGCTGGTCCATGCGTACTGCAGGAAGCAATAACAAAGAGAATGCCTGCTGCACCAAGATGGCTACTTTTTGCCTTTAAGACTAAGATTAACTTATTCCATTGATTTCAGTTCTGTGCCACCAGCTCTCACTGAATGTTATTCCAGAATTCTTTGGTGAAAATGGTGCATGAACCATGAAAGCAGAAATCTAGCTTGCTGTCTCTCCCAAGGGTCCTGTTCTCAGTAGTACTTCTCTTTGCTTCTCTTCTTCCTGCCCAAACATTCTTCCCAACACTTTCCCAATTATGAGAACTGAGTTAGAAAAGAAGACAGAATAGAGTTGTATTGCCCAAGTAGATCTAAACATCATTATTTACTGTGAGCCGCCCCCCCCCCCCCCCCAGCCATTATTTTTAAAATAACTGCTTATTTCCAGTCTCAGACCTACCAGGTTAAATTCTGGATAATGTTTTTAGGACCTGGCCAAGAGAATTTTCTCTGTGCTATTAAGTATGTTTTGTTTTCAGTCAGCATTCTGTTCTTGAAACCATGAGTTCTATAACTTGTGCAAATTGTTTAAATTAATTATATTTGCCTACATGATTCATATAGTTTTCCTGCCTTCTCAAGTCGAGGAACTTTGCTGACACCTGTCTCCATCCCACTGACATGAGGACTCACCACTGCACTTAAGATTTCTGCAACCATCACCCCATCCATTTTTCAAGCTTTAAGAGCTGGAACCTTAGCTGAGATCTGATCACTTCTGACACAGAGAGAGAATGTTTGGTTGATAAGAATGATGGAGCAACATATTAGGTCCTGAGGACAACTTCATGCTAGGTAGGAAATTGTGCCCTGCTTTGCTTCTTCACCCTTTTAAGTTGGGCTGTTCAAGTACCATCTCTTGTTGGATAAATATCTATTTACATCTTATTGATTTAAAAGTATACTTTGCCAACCCATTCATAATTTTAAACAATGAGCACAATTTTTTAATGTGCACTGAATTCTTTGAGGGGGGCTAAGGGTGTTGACTCTCAAAAGAGCAATGGCTTTTCTACCCCAGAACAAGACACCCCAGAAGCGTGTGCATCAGCCTGTCTGCTGTGTATGATACAGTGTGTATCATGCATGGCTTCTTCGCTGGCACAGCCTTCATCGTTGTTCACGTAGGAATTAAAGGGGGAATGCTCAAGGTTCTTCCAGTGCATCAGTGGCTAATGAGGAGCGCCTTGAGAGAACAGCTGTGGTGCTTGGAATGAGTTTCTTCTTTGGCTGGGAGCCCCTTGCCTGCTTGGTCAATTAGCACAGGGAGAACACGTCAGACAGCAGCCTTTGGCCCTGAGGCCTTCCAGAGGATGTTCCACTCACCTCCTTAAGCAGGACTGCAGCGAACATCTTACCTGTAAATGAGCACGTCATCGGCAGTGCAGTTGTACTGGATCTGGTACATCCAGGCCGCATGGGCCAGCTTGTCTGCCACCCAGCGCACCAGGGCTGATGTGGCCGTCACGTCAGACACCACCACTCCCTTCTCAGAAGCCCCCTCCGTGGCGTTGGCCGCGGTCTTGGCAGAGCTGGCGATGTCGGATGAACCTGGGTCCTGCTGCAGCACTGTGATGCTGCCATTCCCCTGATGGGGCAAGGGGATGATGGTGAGGGCTATGGTGGCCGTTGATTCCCCAGCCGCATTTATGGCGATGCAGGTGTAGAGCCCGTCATCCCGGATGGTAGTCACCAAGATGTCCAAAGTGCCATTGCGAAATGATACGGTCCTGGTGGAGTTGGAGATGATTTTGTCATCAGGGGAGACCCAGTGGATCACTGGCTCAGGGTCCCCAATGGCTCGGCATCTCAGGAGAGCCCTTTGGCCTTCCAAAATCCAGAGCTTGTGAGTGTGGCGTGTGATGAGAGGAGGCTCACAAGTGAACTCTTCCTCAGGCACCGACCAAAAGTAGCGGCCGGCCACCTGTGCAGGGGAGGCACAGGTCTCCATGTCATCCTCGCGCGCCAAGCGCCTCAGCCACAGCAGCTCACAGTTGCAATGCAGAGGATTGCCACCAAAGCTGAGCATGATAGTGGAGGTATACGGGGTCGGGCTGATGACCCCAACTTGAGAGCGGGCAAAGAGAGGGTCTGGCGGCAGTGTGTAAAGACGATTGGAGGTCATATCTAGCCGGGAGAGCTTGTACAGCTCAGTGAAGGCTCCTTCTAGGATGAAGTCAATGAGGTTGTGGTCCAAATTGAGTGTGTGAAGGCAGAGCATCCCCTGGATTGCCTCCCATGGAACACTGTGCAAGTTGTTGTAGGACAAATCCAAATCTTCTAGTGTCAACAAGAAGTCATCAAAAGCAGCCACTGAGATGTCCACCAGCTGGTTATTGTTAAGGATGAGGTGCTGAAGGTTGATCATACCCCTCAAAGCCTCTTCCCTGATTTCTGTTAGCCGGTTGCTGTCCAGGTGGAGGGAGCGGAGACTTTCCAGGTCCCCAAAGGCAAAAGGGCGGATGGTATCAATAGTGTTTCGAGAGAGGGTTAGGTCCACAAGGCCTGTCATGTTCAGGAAATCTGGTGGTTCCACCACCTGAATGAAGTTGTCTGCCAAGCGCAGCTCTACTGTCCGCTGGTCAATGTTGGGGGGAATAAAGAGCAGCCCTTTGTTGGCGCAGAGTGTGCTGAGGGACTCGGAGAGGTTTTGGCAGATGCAATGAAAAGGGCAGACTTCCACCTGAGCCAGCGTGCTCCCCTCCAGCAGCAGCACCATCAGCCACAGAACCCTTTCCATGGTAGGAAATGTTGCAAGCCTTGGAGAACTGACACAGAGAGAGAACGTTTGGTTGATAAGGATGATGGAGCAACATATCAGGTCCTGGGTTCATATCAGGTTCATGCTTAGGTAGGAAATTGTGCCCTGCTGTGCTTCTTCACCCTTTTAAGTTGAGCTGTTCAAGTACTATCTCTTGCTGGATAAATATAAATATATGTATATTTCATCCATATTTGTTTACATCTTATTGATTTGAGAATATACTTTGCCAACCCAGTCATAATTTTAAATAACGAGCACAAATTTTTCATGTGCATTGAATTCCCCAACATTACATTACCTTCAATACAGCTCTTATAGTTTCAGTTCCTCCTAAAAGAAAGACTTTTATTATTCTTTTATATATCCAACCAGCATCCATAATTCCATGCACATGACAAAAGAGATTAACAAATAAGCAGGAACATCATGTTTGGGGCACAGGTTGGGAAAGGAGAAAGAAAGGGGCCTGGGAGAAAATCCTGAGAAAAGTTATGTGGTCTTGCAGGATGCCTGAGAGCTTCACCACAAAGCTGGAGTCAGGGGCATATGTGAATTTTTAGCTGAGCACTGCTCTTAATATGCATCCAGGGTAGCTGCAGTCAGCAGTCTGGTGTCTGTTCTGTTTATTTCTAAACTTGAGTCTTTCTTGAGTCTTTCAGCTCAAGAAGGCTACCAGGGCAACATACAAGGCCAGTAGTTAAGATTTCATAGATATGTATTTGCCAAGACAATTTAGGCCAAAGGGTGTGGTCCCAAAGCAGCCTTGAGTGCCTGGAGTTTTTCAATGCCACTTGCTTTAATTTTTTTTCTGCAGGGGGAAAGAGCTGCCTGCTTGGCAAAGCGACTAGTCTTTGGGGTCTCCTTGGCTACATTATGAAAAAATGATGCTTTACAAAGTGCATTTTGAGGAATAAGAAAAATAAGTGTGTGTGTGTGTGTGTGGGAAGGAGGGAGTGTTTTGTGTTTTGGCCATTGTGGGATGTTTCATTTTCAATCTTTCTTTTGGGTTCAGCTTTCCACCCCACAAATCCTTAGAATGCAGCATGGCTATTCTCAGCACATGTGCATGGAAACACAGACATGGTGGGCACAAGGCACAGCACAACACTTTACACCGTGACGCGGCTAAGGGCTGCTAGCTTTTCCAAGGATTCCTTACTTCAGGGAGACCAAGTGGTGTTTTTCCTGGTTGTCTTGTCTCAATCCAATAGTTTGTTGGATTGAGCCACACATGTTGTGCTTCCTGGTATGAGAATTGGGTATTACAAGTGTGACCTATTTCCAACAATGCTATGATGGCTACTCTGTGTGCATATGTGAGTGAGATGGAGGTTAGCCTCTCAGGATGCACGTGGCTGTGGGACATGTGGAAGATGAAGTCTCTAGAGGTATTTTGCAAATCCTGTCCAGGCATGCACATGACACTGGGTTAAAAGCCCAGTGTTGTGTGCATGAGCAGCTGCTTGAAAAGTGATTTTTCTAGTAAGACAGAAGAAGAGGAAGGGCGTTTTCCCCGGCAGACCTCAGCAGATTTTCCCTTGTTCATCCCACTTTCACTTGTTGATAGCCAGACATTAGCAAAAAAGGGATGGACAGACAGAAGTGGGAGTCCAGCATCAGCCTTGGAGCAAGTCATAGAGATCACCTCGGAGCTTGGGTACATAGTCCTTAAATTGTCACCCTGTTGGTGCAGCTCTTCGGTGGGCATAAAGGCAGAGCAGGACAGCTCTGATCCTGTGGACCAGGCTCTCACTCATCTGACTCCCCACTTACACAGTTGTTTTGGGGGTCAGGGGCCAGGGACCATTTATGGATGGAGCCACTCCTCCCTCCATCTGTAGCTCCTCCCCACATCTGCAGTGGTAACAATACCAGCAACCTCTTTTGGGGCTGCCACGTGGGCTGCTGAGAGGACATGAGCACAGTGCTGTGGACCCTGAAGGTGTGTGAAGGTGGACTCAGTGTTGGGCTAGAACAGGACGCTGGATGACAGTGATCAAGAACAGTGCAGAGGCCAGTGCTGTGTGGGAAATCCCCAAGGGATGCTCTGTGACCAAGCAAAGAACTGGATTCTGCCCCAGCCTGCCTCACCATGCCAGGCCTTGGCCAGTCCCAGCTGTGTCAGTAACTGAAGAAACAGAGGAATGCCCAAGCAGAGAGACCAAGGTCTGAGCATGCACTTGCCAGGTGCAGGGCTGGAATGAGAGAGTGCCATGGACAGGAGGGAGCAGACCCTGAAGGGGACCCTGGCCTTGCCCAGGTGATTTAAAAGACAGCCAGTGGGTGAGTGAATCCTCCAAGGAACTCATCACCAGCCCACCCAAGTCTTCTCCAGAGTTACAGGAAAAGCAACCTTCATCTGGGTCAGCCAGGCCTCACCTCAGCCCAGCAGTTCTTAGAATACCCCAGCTTGGCCCTCCTCACAAGGTTGTTGTGATGATAAAGAAGTTCCAGGGAACAAGATACAAATGCATCTTCAGCTCTTCTTCCCTCCTCCCCCCCCCAGCCTAATCTAATTTTAGATTGCAAACTCCTTGAGGACAAGTATTAGCTCCACACTTTTTGCAGATTGGGAACCGAGACTGTGTCCAGGCTGAGTGGCTTGCCCAGGGCCAAACAGGTTGCTGAGTCTGAGCCTGCCACATCGACTTACTTCTTATTCTCACTGAAAAGGTCGCCCTGCTCTGATTCTGCACAACCAGAGCCACGGCAACAAATGCATACCAAAATATTCTGTCTAAGAAAGCATCTTCCCTTCCAGAAAACCTTTTCTCACTGTTGGAGAGAAAGGCTCTTGCCAAATTAGCTTCTCACATGCAAAGGTGTGTTTGTTTTAAATGAAACTGGAATCTAATGAAGGTTGGCCATCTCTACAGATGATCTATTCAACAATTGGAACTTCAGTTGTTGAACCAAGTTGACAAACGGTGGGATTCGCATGCCACACTCTGTATAGCCACTGGTGAAAACCAGTGGGTAGATCAGGATGCTTACATTCCTGGAAAGGTGACAAGCAGATCTGAAAAAATATTAGCTAAGGAAACTTGCGTCTTCCCTTGGACCACTTCTCCAGTGTGCCACGCATCCTGAGTCAAGCAAGTTGCTGATGTTGCTCTTTGTTGCTCAAATGCCTTGATGCTTTCTGCAGTGCAAGAAGCTAGGTGACTAAGCGGTGGGCTTCCCACTCAGCAGCCCCATCTGCACCTGTTCTGTCTGGTTTATCTTGGATATCTCATGGGTTCTTCTACTTGGAACTGGGAACTGCAGTGCAGGTGGCTGGGCCTGCAGCAGCACCCTCTGGGGTGGCAGGTTTGTGTTCTTTTCCATTTTGCTGTCTGCTCAGGTTCTGGATGGAGGCAGGTGAGGCAACTTGTTTTGGGCATCAGCCCTTTGAGTGCAGAAGAGATGGGGAAGTGTGTCCATTGTCTAATGCATTCAAATATGTGTTTGTTTTAAATGGAGGTTTATTCAGACCTGCAGTCTAATGCAGGCTGACACTGAGCATGAAGACAGGGCTTTGTTGTCTGGCACTTGTCTGTTTTGTGTCTTTGGGACTTGGATCCAAACCATGTATTCTGGAAACCTCTGACTTCCAGAGTGCTTGGAAAGAGGCCTCCAAACCAGGTCTCTTAAGTTCTCAACTCTGGAAAGAAAACGTTGTCTAGTGGTTAGAGACAGCCAGGGTTGTTGTGGTATCTGGGCATCTGTTTCTGAGAAGAAAGTTGGAAGCAAGCTGTGAATGGGCAAAGGTCATTTGGCATCAGGCACTCCTGGGTTCTCTTATAGGTAGCTCTCCATATACAGACCTCAAGCATAAATGTGGATAGAAATCTAAATTTAGAGATGCTCTTATACAGTCAAGTTTGGATCATTTGGCCTGCATCCAAACTGTCAGTTCCTTTCATGCACAAGGCACCCTTCCACTAGAACTTTGGGGCATGAGGCCCCCTGGTGGCCTAGTCAGGAGCAGCTGTTTTCTGCACTGTTGCAGGGAAAAGGTGCAGATGGGGAGGGGTGTGGAGAGGAAAGGGGTGGCTGGGGTTCATGTAGGACAAATATTGTGCAGTCAGCTGTCTCTCTCCTTCCTCAACAAGCATCCACCTTCAGCCCAGTAAAGGGACCCTTAGAGGGTCGGAATCAAAGGGGAAATACAAAGGTCAAGGGAGAAGAAATGGGGAGAGCCCCCACCCACAAGTTTCCCAGCTCTTCCCTTCTGAGAAAAGGGAAGTGGTGAGGTGGCAGGGGGAGATGCTCAGAGGCTTTTTTCTGGAAGTGTTTCCTGGCTTTGAAACATATTCACAAGGCACTTCTTCTGGGCATGTTACACAGATCAAATGACTTGTCTTCCTCCTCTGGCCCCCAAACATGCTGCACTCTCCATTTGCAGAACATTTACTGTTCCTCCTTCTCCCCACCACACACGCACACACACAAAAGCCACTGCTGCCCAGAGCCCCCCCCCCATCCCCCCCGGGGGCCCCCCCCCCCATATCCCTTGGCTGAGGATTACCTTGGGCTTAGCATCTCAGGGCCCCAGAGAGCAGCCGTGGCCATCCGCCATCTCCCCGCCATAGAGTTGCTTGTCTCTGCGCATCTTGCTCAGTCTTCCCTGGCCAGGTCATGGCCATCGGGTGTCCCTGGGCCCTTCACCAGTCCCCCTCCATTGCTATGGGGGGGACTGATTCCTGTACCCACTGTGCCTGCTATACTGTGGGCCAGAGGAGGCATCACAAACCCAGGCAAAAGAGCGTCCTCCCTGCTTCTTCCTCCAGCCAAAAGGAATCAGACTCAGGAAATGCTGCAGTGCTCAGGCGGGGGGCAAAAGGAAGCCATGGCATCTTCCTCAGAACAGCACGGTCAGCCTCCTGGGCTGAGCAAGTCCTCTGGCCCCTCATAACTCCTGGGCTGCTCCAGCCCTTCAGGGATGCAGGTCTCGAACCCTGTTCAGCATTTCAAAATGCAGCACCTTGAACAAAGGTCTTGGGCTCCTGTGCCCTGAGTATGCTCCCCACTCCCAAATTCTTCAAGGCCCCTCTTCAGCTCTCAGGATTCCTTGATTCCATTTCATGTAGCTTGAGCAGGGTGGGGGCAGTTTCTAAATCCTATCCTTGTAGTCTTGGGTTCTGGCTCCTCCCAGGCAGGCCCACTCAGGTTCTGCAAAGCTCAGTTCTGGTTTCTCTTGCATTTCTGGATTCCTTAATTCAAGATGCTCCTCAGCTCTCAAAAAAATCAAGAGGCTTCTCTCTCTGCTCCCCATGCAAATTCCAGACTCTCGTCTCTGGTCTCTGATTTTTGCCCAGTCTTTGTTAGCTTCAGATTATATCCTGGTTGAGTGAATATACCCAGATTATATTCCAGGTTCTAATATAATTCTGTTGGATTTCTGGGTCCTTGGGAAAACAGGCCATTGGGTGCTAGTTCTGTTAGCTTGAGCTTCAATCCTTCCAGGCCTTTGCAGTCTGGACATTTTCATGGAATACGATTCCTGAACTGTTTTTTCCTTCTGCAACCCAGACATTTTCCTCCTTGGCCTGCCTGGGAGCCAATTCTTGTCCCTTTAAGAAATCTGAGACAGGATTTTGAGGGCTGGAGCTGTTGTCCTTCCAGCAATGCTGTCTTTGTGTCCCCAAAGCCTGTTTCTTCTGCAGCTCTCCACCCCTCATTCCTCCAGGATGCGCTTTGTCTCCCTTCCTGTCGGTGCAGCAAGGAAAAGGGCGGGACTGGACGGGGCGAAGCGGCCGCCGATTTGGCCTCTCTGCAGAGTCCTCCCCGCCCCTCGTCCTCTCCAGGCTGGGGCCAGCTTGGCTGCCCGGTAGCGGAGCCGACAGCTGCTCACCTTCGTTCTTCTGTTCCTTCCTCCTCTCCTCCTCCTCTGGTATGCCAGCGCCTCTTCCTCCTCCTCTTCCAGCCCCTCCTTCACAGGCTTTGATGGAGGGCGTGGGGAGAGTTTATGGGAGGCTTTTCTTTCCTCCCAGGGTTTCTGGGGCAGGCGGAATGATGGCGCGGCTGCCCATGAACTAGATTTATAGAGAACGTCCTTCCCTGTGCATCTGGGAAGCCAGCAAGCTCAGCTATCTTAGGAAAGGAAGCTGTGTTGTTTTCACATCATTTTTCACATGTGCTCACTGCATGTTGTATATGATGTGCACAGAAAAGCCCCTTTACTGTGCCCCCCCACACATGCATGCACTAGAAACAGAAGCAAAAAGCAGCAAATACCAAATTGGTTTTCATCTGGTTGTCCAGGGAGACACTTGCTACAAAGCAAAAATTTCATAGAGGGGATGCTAGTTGGGGTTGATCATGGGGTCCAAACTGAGCAAACCAAGGGCCTCTTTTTGGTTGGATTGATGTCTGCAACAGAGGGAAAGCTATGAGAAGTGACGGACACATATTGATAATAAAATGCGCTATTTAAGAGAGAGAAAAACAAATGCACCACACTGTTGTCTGTTGTAAGGATTACATGCCTGTATGGAAATGTGTGCTATTAATGTGTGCAACCCAGGTAGTTTGACCTTGTAGCACCATGAGCTCATGAGGGACAAGGACTCTTTAGGAGCCAATGAGTCTTTCCCCATCCCTATGTCCTTTGCAGCTGAAGATAGGGGTGTCCAGGTTTCCCAGGTTCTCAGGGGGGAGAACAGTGAAATCTGATCACTAAACTTCTAACTTGGACTGTGTTCCCACCCATGCAAAGGGCATATAAATCTAGGATTCCAGGATCCTGAAAGGACTCTCTGTTCTGTATCTATTATTGTAATCAATCAGGAATTAAAGATGACCTTTCCAGTTTGGCCTCCAGGGATCCATTTCCAGTATTTAACATGGTGTGATTATGGCTGAGCTGAAGAATCATGCAATACAAAACTCCAGGAGAATTTGAAATGCAAATCCCTCCAGAAGCCCACCCTTCCATGTCCTGATATAAGGTTTGTAGCCTAACCTCTGATATCCCTCTTGGACCTTGACTGTGTCCTTTTTTGTGCACTGGGCTCATTACGTGTACTTGGAGCCATGAACAATATGCAAAATATAACAAGCTAGCAGAAATTACATAAATTGCTGCAGACTTTTTAGCAGATTTTCCAAAGGGGGAAAATTTTGGCTCTGTCAATAAGCAGACATTGGAACAAGAGATGCTTGGCTGTGTATGAAATATGATGGAGCTGATTAAACAAAACTGCATCCCTACTTTAGACACAGGCACACTGCTATAGGAAGAAAGGATGATATGGGGTGCTTTGGGTTTTGAAGCCATTTAGGACTTTAACAGGAAGCACCAGCACTTTAAATGTAAACAGTAGCACTCATGAGTAAACAAGCAGCCAAGACAATGGTCTAAGAATCTTCTAATTGGGCAGAGCAGTTAAAATGCTGGTCTATTTGAAACTTCTGAGTTGTCATCAAGGGCAGCTCTATGACAGAAATTATTTATCATAATTCTATCCCTCCTTTTTTTGGAGCTGAGCTCCTGTGGCTGAGGCTCAGGTGGCACCCAAGCAATATACATATATTGTCGATTGGTCCCAAATCAGAAGGCCTGTGGGGACAGGCAGGCTTAGCCCCACTCCCTGTTGCCACCATGTGTGCTAACTACAGCCTCCTCACTGAGCCTGTTTTCCCAATTTTATGTGATGGAGAACTATTGTCAGGTAGAGAAGGGTCACATCATAACAATTAAAGATCAAAATCACAATAGGGAAACTAGCTGGCAGCAAATAAGCTGATGAAGTAGCCAATAAAAATGAAGCAAAACTGGTGAACAGCAGAAAAGTTTCCTGAAAATTATGAGAAGATGGCAAGAGCCAAGAAGAAGAAGAAGATGGATTTCTTCTGGTGCTTAAAGGAACATCCAAAGTAAAGACCTAGGATGTCAAAATAATGGTTTGTCCCTTCAAATAATCAATCTGTTTCAGCCCTGTATCTTTTTCAGGGTATGTTTTGGGCCCCTCATTACAGGAAGGATATACCTGTAGCCGGGTTAGAGTCAGTGCAGCGTAGGGCCACAAGGTTGGTGGCCGGTTTGCAGGGGATGCCGTATGAGGTGAGACTGAGGGAACTGGGTCTCCAGCCTGGAGAAGAGGAGACTCAGAGGGGGTATGTTAGCAACATACAGGTATGTGAAGGGATGTCACACAGAGGTGGGTAGAGACCTGTTCTCCCCTGCAGAGAAGGACAGGACGCACTCCCAATGGAGTGAAGCTCAGGGAGCCAAGGTTCAATTTAGATGCCAGGAAGCACTTCCTGACAGGTAGGACCCCGAGGGTATGGAATGGGCTTCCAGAAGAGGTGGTTGAGGCCCCATCGGTGAGGGTGTTCAAGGATAGGCTAGACATGCCCATGGTGGGCATGTTGTGAGCAGAGCCGGCTGGAGCCGGAGGTCAGACTAGATGGCCCTTCTGACTTGCTCTGTTTCTGTTTCTACATTTCTATGATCTTTTGAAATACATAAAAGGAAGGCATAAGGCAAACATTTAAGTCTGGGGAGGGAATTCTACAATAAGGAGCAGCAGCTACTGAAAAGACCCCCTGCCTCTCTCCAGTAACAATCTGCTTCTAAAGCAGGTGTGCAAATTCACCTGGGCCAGCTCTTGCCATTTAGCCAAGGGAGGATTTCTTTAAAAGATAATTGCTTTGCAAAAGCCTCCTTCTGCTTGTCTTCATCTCCACATGTTTAGTACCACGAGAGGGTGTGCTGCCACTGAATTCTTAGTGTGTCACTGCAGAATTGATGCGTGCAGATGGAAGAAAGGCTAAAAAGAAAATATTATACTTAATGCAAGGTTTATTATAGAGATATAATATGCACTGTTCAGTATTTAAGTTAAAAGGCAACAATTAGTTTAAAAGCATAGAGAGGCCAGTTGTCTTGATGAGCTGTTCAGCAGTTCTGAGAGACAGAGAGTTAAACCTGCTGCCAAATAATAAAGGAGGAGGGAAATAATAAACTAGATAGACAAAAGCCAAATTAGATCAAGAGAAGGACACACATGTTGCACAGGCAGAAACAGAATCAAATAGATGTGAGAGACCACAGTATTACCAGCTTTCTGAAGGTCTTGGGTGGGTGTAGATGTTTTCCCTGAATCATCTGCCAAAAACTAGGACAACTCAGTGCGGATGGGAGACCCTTCCATGAGCTGCAAGTCTCTGTTCTGCCCTTTTCAATTGGCATCACAACCTGGGTGAGGCCTCGGCACACCCTCCACTGCAGAGTTGATGAGCCAGGCTGTAAATCAGAAGTCTGATTCAAGGTTGCAACGGCAGGAGTATCAACGTCCTTTGGCCTGCAATCAGGTGGAAAGCTAGGCAGACCAGGCTTTCAGCTCCCCGGCTTCCCATGCTTGAACTGGCCTCTACATAATTTTGCTCTGGCCCTCAGATGTTATGACCCATACCAGCACTTTGACATCCCACAGGAGCAAAATTGCATCATGATATTTTTGTTTCAAGGAACTAAAGGCTGCTCACACAATTCTTCTCCTCCTCCTAGTCTTATCAAAACAATAACCCTGCAAGGCCTTGTGAGGCCCAAAGTTGGAGTAATGGCTGCTTGGGGACAAGAATTCAGATCACCTGAGTCCCAGTCCTACAGGGGCCATCCCAGTATTACACAGGGCAACCTGGGCTTCAGGAACACCAACCATATCAGCCGGAAACACCCCCAGAGCCCTCTGGAAACCATCAGGATCCATTAGTTTTCAGGGGCAAGTTATTCTAAAAGGCCCCCCACCTGTGCAGAGGGGAAAGAGTCCGAAAGCCTAAGTCTTAGACAGAAGTGATCTGACCATAATAAGGGAGTTAATGTTAATCCCACTCTCATCCCAATACTGGGTTTAAAAAAAAAAACAGGTCTAATGCCTTCATTGCTGCCCTTCCCAGCCTCAGTCTTTTTTGAATTTTGTAACTACAGTCCCTATTTGAATTGATCCCTTAGTTCAAGTATGTGAAGTCTTTCATAATTTCAATTTCTTCACTGTTAACTATAAAACTATGTAATTCTTCTGTGGTCATGATTTTTCAGCCCTTTGGTATACACCATTGCTGAGAGCGAGGAAGCAAGAGGGGTGATGGCTAGAGTACAGGTGAAGAAAAGATGAATCTGACCAGACACAGCTTAGAACTCATCATCAGGTCTATTCTGTGGTGGTGAGGGAGGAAAAGAGTTTATTCTTTTCCACCAGCGTTGCATCTTCTCAGTCTATCCTGCAGAGCTTTTCGGAATGGTTTGCAGTCTCTTACAAAATGGGGCCGAGAAAGACATTGTAGTACCCTCAATAGCTCGCTGTGATAACCAATATCCCCTTCAAGCAAGATGTTTAAGCAGGTCACTGGCTGAACAGCTCCAGGCACTCTTGGATGAACTGGATGTGTTCCATTTCATTCAAGCTTCAGACCTGGGTTCGGAATAGAGACTGCCTTGGTCACTCTGTGGGATGATCTTCACTGGAGAAAAGACAGGGGAGACATGTCCCTGTTGGTTCTCCTGAACCTTTCAGTGGCTTTCAATGCCATTGGCCAGGGTGTCCTTCTGGATAGGCTCGTTGAGTTGGAAGTTGGAGGCTCTTCAGTGGTTCTACTTGTACTTAACCCCAGAAGTTGTTGCTGGAGGATTATAGCTCTGCGCCATGACATATATGCTATGGAGTACCT